GGGGGACTGGCACGCCTAAAGGACTGTGAAGCCCAGATCAGAAATAATAAAACTGAGAGGCAGGGAGGGAGGGAGGGATGAAGGAAGGAGGGAGGGAGGGAGGGAGGGGAGGAAAAAAAAAAGAGCGAAGGAAAATATGTTCTGTGAAGGGGAAGGCTGGAGAGAATGGAAGAGAGAGTCATACATGTGCCAGGAGAGCCGCACCTCTCGCTGTGACTGGTGCTTTTCTTTCGCCCCTGTTATTTACCTCCTTTTTTCTTTTCTCCTGCATATCTGCGGTATCGGATTGTTTTCTCCGGCGTTTTTTTTTTTTTTTCCTTCCCCCCCCCCCCCCCCCCCCTTTTCCCCCCCCCCCCCCCCCCTCCCCCTCCCTTTTTTCTTCCCTCCGCGCCTTCCCCCTCCCTCTTGGCGGCCCCCCCCCCCCCCCCCCCCCACCCCCTCTCCCATCTAAAGTCTCCCTCCCTTTTACCCACGAACTCTCCTTCATAATGTGACACTGCGCTGGTTTTCATGTGACTTGCTCTTCAATGCATAACCGGTTTTGCATCTCAAAGAGCAACTGAGTGTGTAATTTCAATGTGCTGAAAAAAGTATTCCCCAAAAATGACCTCCCACAGATTTAAGCGGTGTTTCAAGAGCAAAGATGCTAATTTGTTTCAAAGAAAGTTGGGGATTTTTGGGTAATGATGGTGGCAAGCAAATATTTGCAAAGTATCTCAATTATGTAAGATTGATTGTACAAAAACAACTGTGTATTTTTTTTTTGTAAAAGTTGATTCTGAGTTTTATTTTTTTTTAAAGAAATGACAAAGCATCTATTTTTTCACACCTCCTCTTTTCACAAAACTGGAACCACAAACTGCTGCACGTTTACATGAGAGGACTCAACCAACAGTTACATTCTAAAGAACGCCTGCAATCCATTGGAGGAGAAAAAAAGGACCAATGGGTGTCCATGACAGTACAGCCCAGTTGTTCAAAGAATACTTTTAGCCTTAACCCAAGTCCTTTTGATTTCTGACACTTACCAAGTGATGTTCCTGCTCTCAGCCAAACAGGAAGTGAAATAGTAGGAGGTTTTTTTGCTATTGATGGAACTCGCATTAGTCTCAGTCTCCCGTCGCATAACGGCCCGGTTTGAAAGCTCTCCGCTGTGACATTTACCACCCACTTTCCTCCTGATAAGAACTTCATCGCTTTTAAAGGAAAAAAAGACCTCATGCTTCCCTTTAACCGCTTGTAACTTAAAGAATGCCGCTGTGAGTCATATAGAGAGATGTGAATGAACAACCTACATGATATGTCATGGGGAGGATTTGTTCATTATGTTCCGCGGCTGTTGAAACACCCAAATTCTTCGGTTTATAGTCACCTTTTTGAACTGTCCAGATATGTCTAAACGAGGGTTATCCCTCTCCTATTTTTACATCATATAAACACAGCTGAACAAACACTGAAAAACAATTTTAAGCCAGAATGGGAAAACTTTTCAGTTTCAAAGCTCAGTTCCAAAATGCCTCACAGAGTAGTTAAAAGAACAAATGATGCAACACTAATAAACATTGTGCGTTTGTCACGATCCCTTTCTCAAGTGCCCGTAGATGCTTTTCTACCATCTAACCTAATATAGGACTTGTGTGATGTACAGATCCAAGAGTTCCTCTGTTTACATTTTAATCAGCTGTTTTGGGAAAAAAAAAGCATGAAGCGGCTCAAATGCCAGGAAAAACAACATGTGACACGTTGTTTTTCAGGCACTTCACAAACATTCCGTTTGAGGGCGAAAACCTGGCAGTCGTAATAAAACATCTACCTGAGTACAGACATTTCCGCGGGAGAGCCCTCTGAGAGAGAGAAGTTTGCTATACGGTCACACTCACGGCACGAGTCCAGCCGATCCAAAGATACACAACCAAGCACAGGAGTCCAGATTAGTGCGTTTACTGCTGCACCTGTCGGATAGAGCAAGCCGACCCAAAGCCCCTTTTGCCGTGAAGGACTTTAATAATGGCCGTTCACCCTGCTTTTTACAGATGGAACACACCTCGCCTAAAAAGCACAGCCGTTAAAGGATTTAAATGAAGGTAGATGTTAACTGATTTGACTGATTTGCGGGTTTTTAAAAGATACAGTTGTCTAATATAAATGTGCTACAATTATTGTAGGCAGGCCAACACTGAGGAGATGGAATAGAGCATCAACAAGCAGGAACACAGACAGAGGAACAGAAGACAGAGTCATTTTCAATCTAATCTTGTTGGACCTCTGTGAAAATCCTAAATCCCTAATTCAAAATAAGTCCAGAATTGAAAAGTGTGCATTTTGCGAACCTAAATGAATAAAATCAGATGAAAATATATTTACATATTTATATTTAAGTTACATTTATGAAATGTTCTTTGTTTTTAAAACTGAGAATAGCAGCTAAAACGAGTGAGGAAGAAGTCGTCTTTTTCATCTGTAACGTACAGATCCAGATGCAGAAAATAGCGACAGTTTTTAACATCACATCTGTTTTTCTCGTTCGCTTTTTCATATATTACAAGGAGAGCTGTGAGGGTGAATAATGAGCCTGGTGGTAAAGTGACAAAAGCGGTTCCAACACCTAGTCAGTCCCCACAGACACCTAGTGTCACATCGCTGGTTGAAAACACTAAAAACAGTTTTTATTTGCTGATTGCTAATTCACCTCTCAATAAACTACGTGCAAGATTAATTGTCACACTAATTAACAGTATTTTGACTAATAGTTGCACACTATTTTGGCCGGGGGGGGTGTTTCGTTGTGAACATGCATATTAAGCCTGAGCTGTTGATATTTCTTTCCTGTCAGTTCCTCTGTAGCGCTACATCTGCATGCATGAACACATCATTTCTTACAGGACTTATGCATGAAGGCCATAATTGCAAATCATTTTGGAGCAATAATCTTTAGGTTTTGGGGTCAGTTGAATTTTATAAAGTTAAATTAGTAAGATAAATGTGGACATAAACAGCGTGTAGGTTTCCCTCACGGCGCTGCGGTGCATAATTCGAGAAAAGCTCCACAGAAGTAGAGACTTTGAAGGAGGTGTGGCTCGAACATGTAACTGGAGCCCATACACCAGACCTGTGGCTTGAAAAAAAGGCTTCATTCATAAATGAATGCCAGAGAAAGAAGAGCCTTCTGTATAATTTGACCTCTAAAATTTACCATTCCATCTGCCCCTTGTGATCTTCAAGTGAAGCCGCTGCCAAATGACTGAGGCACAAATGAGTTTCTGGGGAGAGGAGCCGGAGGAAGAGAGATGGGACAGCTGCAGGTGGACAACAGATGCTAAAGTTTTTTGTTTTTTTCTATGTTCTCCCATTCAAAACTATGTCTGTGCATTGCTACAGCTATCCCACATCATCATTCTCCGCCCTTCCTTCTCTGTGACAGGAGCCAACTGGCCGGATTACAAGCAAGAGAGACGTGACGATGATGGTAGCAAACAAGTGTGTGTGTGATGGTGGGGGGTGAATGGGGGACTGTGTTACTTTTGACACCCAGAATTTGAGCAGCAGGCTCAGACGAATGGAGAGGGAACAGGCAGCCTTGAAAAAAATAAAACAGGGAAGAAATATGCGCATAAGCACATTTAATTGAACTGCAAGACAGCAACTCACACCCCAAACAGCTGCCTGGCCTTCCACCTGCTAAAGGATGTGTCCTCCAGCACACGATGTTAGCGCAGGGCCGGAAACGCAGTGAAAACATGCAAACACGCACGTGTGCACTGGTCTGCGTGAGCCCAAAAAAACACCGAAACACAATCCTATCCGCATCCCACTGCGATTGTGAACACGGCTGACACGCCCGCAGACAAATGTAGAACATTTTTCCTTGGGTGAAAATGAGATTCGCTGGCACCTCCAAACGTATCTCCCTGAGCTTTTGTCAAAGCGCAGGCGAGAAAAGTGACAAGTCGAGCAACGCTCGGCTGCACACGTGTGCAAGCGGACGCGGACACGGTCAGCTCCGCGTCTGCTTTGCTCGGGCTTAATGCCCATAAAGATTTCATTTACTCAAAATGAATAATTCAGGGGGAGACTGTGGTCACTAAGAAGGAGAGACCACAGAAGAAAGGAACAGGAGCAGGGTAAGAAAATAAAGGAGGAACCAAAAAAGAACCCACGAGAAAGGAGTGGAAGAAAATATACCAGGTATTCTCCCTTATCTGTCCTTGCTTTGGTTCTGCATCCAACAATTAGCTGTTACGCCCTCATAGTTTTTCTAACATGATAGAACAAAGAAAAAAAAAAGCCAGTCTCTTTTGATGGCAGTGGCTCTATGTGTTACCTGTTAAGACTTTGCTAACACGTCAGTAACCATGCAGACACCCAACAGGTGCTACTCTCTCTCAGGGATTTGTGGATTTTTTATGATATTTGTATAGCAACGAGGTGAGATGGCAGGATTGAAGCTATCCTGCGGGATTCCGGTTATAAAAAACAGAGTCTATATAATTGAGCAGCTGTCACAAATCAAACACAAAAAGTCAACATTTGCCATGTCAAGCATCTCAAATGTAACATCCTCACATTTCTCTATCAAAACAATTATTTTGATGCCAAAATATTGATCTTTGCAACATGGAAAAAAGGATTCTCCCAGAAATGATATCTCTGTTTTGTGCAAAAACATTTGTTATCAAAGCTTTTCCAACACCACTTAGTTGTAATTGTTTCTCTTCAAAAGTTCTTCAACACAATTCGCGCCACATAACTGCCTTTAACTAGAGTGTTGACTAAAGTTGAGCTCTTATGATGCATTAAAATACAATAAAATACACGGTATTTCCTTTCCACATAATCTATTCCGCATATGTGTGGTTGAGCAATTGTCGAGCCTTGTTCCCATCTTTCTTTTTTTCCCAAGATAACATGACAGAAGTTTGATATAAAGCACATCTCCCACTTGCACTCCTTCACTAATCTCTGAGAGTATCACTCTCTCTCAACAAGCCAGTATTTATTTTGACTAATTTACAGCTTTCTCTGCATCTTTGTTGCTAAGTCTTCTTCTCTATCCTGTCACTTTTCATTCACTTCAAATCTACAACTTTCTCAGTTCCCTCATTTTTTCCTATGGACCAGCTCTTTAGACCACAACCACAGTCATGAATGAATGTGCTGAGCTTAGAGCGACGAGCCTTCAGAAACATGTTTCTCCCATTATCTTGTCTTTTTTTTTTTGCTAAAAGGAGAAAGAAAGACAAATGGGTTCATTGTAAACACAAATGCAAAACAATTGGAAGAAAAGACACAAACACAAAATCGTAATTTGAATAATGCTAGTTTTGTACTGTGCCTTAACAAGCTGTCGAAAACACCAAAAACCTAAAAATCTTCAAACAATAGAGGTGACACATTCAGCAAGTGATTTATCTGAAATAATAAACTACGTTTGCCTTGTTGTCAGACAAGTGATGTTTTTACTTTCAATTTTCTTTTTGTGCGGACTCATAAGGTTTTATTTAGAGTAACCATATTAGGAGTGAGACCTCCATTTTCATAACTGCAAAATTGTGGTGACTTGTAAATTAAATGACAACAAAAATCCAATTTGTCATTTTTTTGTTAGGATAGAAGAAGATCAAAGTACTTAAAGAGATGAGCAGCAACAGCTGACTTTGGATGACAGGTCCTGCAAACAGCTGGTTATGATTGAAAGTATCCATCTGTTCAAATAGATTAAATGAAATCTAATTTAAGAGAGAAGGTTTCTTTTATCCTTAGAAACTGTTGTTGATTATGATTTTTGCAACAAGCAGGGATGACCTCCTGAAAAGAAGTAAGAGAAGGCAGATATTCAGAGGAAAAGCGAACACACTGTTGTTGCATTTTAATCCACTGGCTGCATTACTCAAGGTCGGTGCTCTGGGGTAAAAAGAAAAAAAAATCCCTGTGTGAAAAGTACAGTGAGCAGCAACACAACCTTTAACTGTCAATCCAGATTAGGGTCAGCGCTTGACCCCCCTGTAAATGTGAGATCTGCCAGCTGACCTAGTCACCATGGAGACCTGAAAGTTGACAGACGGCTGTCAACACCCCGTTTCCCCTCCCCACCATTCAGCCTGCGATCGGTCCCTCCCTCTACTTCTTCCTTAATCCCTCACTCAGACTAACAACTGCCTGAGGCTTTACCCTGGACCCTGCAAATACATAATCTGCTATCTCTAGAATTAACATGCCACAACCTTACTATGCCATCACGCCACGCCACAGAAAGGGATAGAGTTGTGGCTAGTGTGTCACGCAGAGCAGGACTGCCCTGAGCCCTAAACAGAGGAGTGAGCACGCTCAGCATTCAGTTTTGGCTTGCGTGCATATGTGCGCCTATAGCCCGTCAAGAAATTGAATTAACACGTGTCCCGCAATAACTTCATTGTGGTGTTTTAATTTTCTATGAATACAGTTTTTGGGGAATTTCAAACATAATGAAGAGGTGGTTTGGTCACATTAAGAAACAGAAAGGAATTTCTCCATTATCTAAGCTTTGCTGAATAACAAAATACCACAAAGTCTTTCTTCCCCAGCATTATGTTATGGTGAAGAGGAGGAGGGGTAGTTCTGCTTAGATGTTATACTCTGAGCATCGTGCGCTAAAGAGAAAACAGCTCATTTAGGTTGACACATGACTTGATCGTCTACGATGGAAATATTTTCAGGTGGTCAGTGAAACAGAACTGCAGCTGATGAGTTGTGTGGGATTGTCAGAACTACAGCACACACACACACCACCAGCTTTTGGGAGCAGATTTTTTAAAAGTGAAATAATCAAGTCATACTTTCAAGTGTATAAGTGCTGCCGGCCATTTTCCAAAGACAAAAGTAAAATCCGGGGTTTTCTGTTAATGGACAGATGTTCCACCCAGAAGCAAATCTGGCCATGATCACCACCAAAACACACGTTGCCTAGCAACATGCAGTTTAGGAATATGCTCTCAGCTTTGTCGATGTGTCCATTAAGAGATGAAATTACCAGCGCAACAAATGTCAGCCACATGCAAATAAGGTCTTCTCTTCTGACTGAGTGCGTGCTAACAATGTGATGCGGCAGACTTGAAGAAATATCCCTCAGAGTGACTATGTGAGCCGAAAGCAACAGAGTGTTTTGACAGCCAGGAAACGGGGCTCTTCTAATACCTACTCTCTGGGGTCTGAAGGTAAAAGCAAAAGTTAAATAATTTTATTCCCTGCCTTGGCCATTTCAAGTTTGTTTGGTGATTTGTATTTCATTTGATGAATCTAGTCTAAGCAGAATGAGAGTATCTATGGATTAGTGCAGCCATGAAAATGGAGGATCTGCAGGATTAAACCTCTCTCTCTTTTCTCGTTGCAACCAACACTGAGAAAATGACACAATCACACATCAGCCATCAGGGAAGTTAATTCGATTTTATCTGTCTGGTGATGCTGCTAGTGAGCCGATGTCAATGGATGTCAACCAAAATGTCTGAAACATACTTGTATCAGGATGTGAGAATAAAAAAAAAACACAATTGAGGTAGCACCTCTTGTATTAAAAACTAATTCTTAGTATTGTTTTATAAATCTGACAGAATACATTATATTTGATTTCTTTTAGTTTTTTTTAAATATTATAGGTCTAAATTTATGGAACTCAAACAGAAGCAAACATGGAGTTTCACATAAAGAATATGCTCTAAATGAAGAAAAGCATTTGTTATGCTGATTGGAGCTATGCCTTGACTGTAGGAGGACCGGGGTAATGCTCTGTAGTCCAAGTGGCAATGAAGCTTTTTGAGGCTACTCTGAGTCATACTTATAATCATAATGAAAGAAGACACTTTAGTTTAGTATAACAAAGCTTTGGGGGCTGAGCAGAAAGGACTTTAGCAAGAACAAGTGCAGTTATGATGACACCATAGCTGAAGGGCTGCACACAAATAATGTTGAAATCACCATTACGCAACCTTCTGAAGTCACAGGAGTGGGGTGGGGGTAAGGGGTTATGGGACGGGTGCGAGCTCCCATATGGTTCTGCACGACAGTTGCAACAGATGCATACCCTCTGTTCCCACACAATTAACACATCTGCACATTATATCTGACTTTTACAGTTAGCAAAGTCTCAATATGAACCGTTTGCACATAAACGAAAGCCTGTAAAATGAACGCAGAGCAGTTGTTGATGTTTAAAACAGACCAGAAAGGATGCTAACAAATGTTCACCCAAAATTCTTCACACCCTTACTCAATCTAGGCCACTTTGTGTTGTATTTTAAATTAGGCATTTTCTCATTCAATGTGTAAACTCTGATTTAGGGAAGCTGGGGAAAAAACACATCCTTACCAATGTCGATGACGTTTGCGCCAAACTGGAGAACTGACCAGAAAGATTAAATGATACAAAAAAAATCCCGTCTTAACGTTCTGATTGTGTTTGGATTTTAAGGTCAAGTGTCATGCATTACATACCAGTAACCACGCTAGCTTAACCATCCCTTTTCTGAACACAATGTGTGTGGAGCATTCACTTGCGAGAATAGTAGACAGAGTAGACAATGACTTACAATTTTACAAGTTGGTAGATGAAAATACATTCAAAGAAAATAGCTGTGACTTAATACCCATGTCACATTTCTAAATGCAGTTACTTTAAATGTTTAACATCGCAGCAACACTGGAGCTCCTAAATACAACGAGATGACTGAGAAATGCTGAGCCCTAGTCTATCAAACCGATGAAACAGCTAAATAAAGCAACAAGCCAACTGGAAATAAAACCAACAGAAAAAAGCCAGGAAAAAGGGAAAAAAGATTTACTTGAGTCTGGAGATGCCATTGTGGATACGATGACTGGTGGACCTGTGCGTCGACTTAGCTTCTGGTTAGCAACCATGACACCTTGGCCTTGTACAGGCGCTCCCACAGGAACAAGAGAATTGTCTGATACTTGTCCCCCACCCTTGCGAATCATCTGAGGACTTGGGTGAGGGCTGTGCATGGGTGACAATGGCATTAAATTCCTGTCTCTCTTCATCAGCTCCATGGGTACTGTATAATTGGTGGAGTATGCTTTCGGCACCTGTTGTGGTGGCTGCTGTAAAGCTGGCATTGACACGGGCATTTGCTGTGGCATACCTGGAATGTGGTGAATAGATCCAGGTATAGCAGGCATTGATCCAGTCATCTGTTGTGGCATCATTTGCATACCTTGCATATGCACTCCTGGCACTCCCATCCCAGAGGAGTAGGCTGACATAGGTCTTGATTGAACAGGCATAATGGCTCCTGCATATGGCCCCGGGGAACGAGGTGGTTGGCCTGGGTAGCCTGCAGAGGCTTCAAGGAGGTGTTGAGACGGGGCACTGCTGGGCCTCCTACCCATTACTTCTCCCATTCTTGGGGAGATTGTTTGCATGCCCCCAGGAGTCTGTGGGGGCATTAGCTGGGGATCCATGGCTAAAGCCTGAGCAGGGTGCTGTGAATGTAGGTGCTGCTGCTGGTGATATACATCTGAGCGATGACTAAAGCTATTAGAACGTCCTCGCATGGGTGTCTGAGGTCGCGAGGGTGCCGGAGTAGCCTCAACTGGCTTTTTGTAGTTGTGAACCAAGCGAGACAGTACACGAGCCTGGCCCAGGTTAGGGGCAACAGTGCGGACGTCATTCTCCTCCATAACAGCTAGCATGCTTGAGGAGTCAAATCCCTGCTGAATAAGTGAGGAGATGGTGCTCTCTGAGAGGCCCTCATTTCGCAGCAAAGAAAGGAATTCTGGATCAACTGTCTTCTTGGGGTCCATAGGCAAGGGTGCTGGTGGGGCAACAGGGGTAGGAGCAGGAAGTGGAGATGCAGGGGGAGGAAGGGCCTGAACTGGGGCAGATTGCACAGGGGCAGGTGCAGCTGGAATGGCTGTTGCAGTCTGCAGTGGAGCAGGTGGAGCAGGAAGGGGAGCGGCCACAGCAAAGTTGGGGTCAGATACGGGCATAGCAGCTGGAGGTGGAAGTGGCTGTTGCTGCTGCAGATGCTGCTGCAGCTGTTCTTGGTGAAGCTGCTGCTGTTGAAGTTGATGTTGCTGTAACTGCTGCTGTTGAAGTTGCTGTTGCTGTAACTGCTGCTGCTGAAGTTGCTGTTGCTGTATTTGTTGTTGCTGGAGTTGCTGTTGCTGAATCTGTTGTTGCTGAAGTTGCTGTTGCTGCAGCTGCTGCTGTTGTATTTGTTGTTGTTGAATTTGCTGATGCTGCAACTGTTGCTGCTGCTGGATGGTATAAGGTGAGGCTGAATCTTGCCTCATAACAATGCCTTGATTGGAAGGATCTACCACCAAACATGTGGCACCTTGCTGCTGGGGATCTAGTGGGCGACCATCAACTTCTGAATAGACTGACTGGCCAGTCAGAGGTGGAGGCTCACTGGCATACCGGGGAGATGGATGCTCCATACCGTAATGAGCAGGAGATGGCTCCCGGGAGGGTAAGCGCTGTTGGCCATCTTGCATCATCTTGGCAACAGTTACCGCACCAGGTTCTCTATAAACTCGATTCAACTCATGGGCGGTTGGAGGAGGGGGAGGAGGAGGTAGAGGTAAAGGGGATGAAGGGGCTTGGGGAGCTCCTCTCCCAGACTGACCTTGATCCCACACAGCTCGAGTTCCAGGTGCCATCCCAAAATGTGAACCTGACCGACTGAGCGGATGAGGCGGTGGAGGTTGATGCTCTGGCCGGTAAAGACCCTCAGGTGGTCGTGGAGTCATAGCTGGGTCGTGGGAATAGTAATCCTGATGGGAAATCGATCCTCTGTGAGCCATAGCTGCCCGTTCGTAGTGGTTTATATCCGGCACAGAGCCCTTCCTGAGTCCTCGTTCTGCGTAAACCTGTCCGTAGGGAGTGTCTTGATAGGAATATGAAGCACGTTTCAAATCCAGCTCAGGGGGACGCACCCCTGGTGGAGCCTCGTACCACCCTCCTCCCTCCCCGTACGAGAGAGAATTCCTTCGGCCTGCTAATCTCGCCTGCTGCTGCTCGTATGCACTGTCACACTGCCTCTCCCACTGTCCCTCATTCCCCCCTAATGTGTCCCAACTGTGGGAGCGTCCAAGACCTAACTGTTTGTTCGTGACAAGCATTGGCAAAAAAGAAAAAAGCTGTGGAAAAAACTTAAAAGACACAAAAAAGCGTAAAACAAAAGTAGGCTCTTGGCAGTGTATTTAGAAGTGCAAGCCTTCAAGCAAGAGAAGAGAATGAAATTTAAGGAGGACGGTAGAACGAGCGAGTAGAGAAGGTGCACGGTTTCACCTTATAAGCGGTTGTAATATTGTAAGTCCAAACGATCAGGTGACTCCCCCTTCAGCTGGCAGTCCTTGAATAATTAAACTCTGGTCATGCTGGTTGGTTGTGCGAGAGGAAAAAGGACACCACACACAAAATAATCCACAACATACAAAACCACACAAACGCTGCAGAGGAAACAGTTATTCCATGGAAGACCCAGTAACAAGGTGCGGGCTTCAGATGGCACACAAACATTTGCTAGTAGTAAAATACAAAAGAGGGAAGGGTGGGTTATAGGTTGAGATGGGTAGGGGCTTGTACTAATCCAGTACAGTTTATCTCTCCCCTCTCTGGGACATTTTACTTGCTCTGCCGATTGCTATGAGGGATTACATCTAAATAAAGCCTGTTTAATTCCACTTCCTTCTGTGACGTCACGTGATCCACAAAGCAGAGAATCTGGTGATAGTGCTGATGATAGCAATGCCAACGATTTTGATTTCACCCCAGAAAAAAAAACTCACACCCTGCTCTGGAGCCACCTACCTGAAGCTGCTTCTGATGTGCCGTTGTCAACAGGTTTCAGATCAGCCAAATTTACAGAAAGGGCTTGGGAAGCCGGGCAAGGTGCACAGCTTCATTGAAACAAATGAAATACAGTACTCTTCGCTAAGTCCTGTGCTGACAGTAAACATCAAATCCACCCTGATTGGACACTAATCCCTCCGGCCCCATGCCTGCAGCAGAGCCACCACGCAACTGTTGCCCAGCTTGCTCTAAAATGTCCTTGATGGATGTGCGGTTCTTACTGCTTGTGCTGATTTGGGATCAGTTTGACCTGCTGTCTGCAGGACACCAAAAATTACTATGCAGAACGAATGATAAATTGCTCCTTCATGCTTTTTTCCTTTCGATTGTCCTGTTTGACTTCTACTGCTCAGCCGTGAATATTACTGCGATCTGTCGAGCAAAAATGATAAACATCTGAAATGCATTAGTTGGCCCAAATTCTGTTTTATTCAGCCATTAATATAAGTACATAGAAAAAATACTATACGCAACCAACTGTCTGGAAAACACACCACCTTCCCCCGCTTTCACAAATCTCCTCTGATCTCCTTCACTTAGAGAGGATCTGTAATCTGTATGTTCCTACTTGCAGAAAAAAGTAAAACACTGGGGGGTTGTGTGTGTGTGTGCGTGTGTGTGTATGCATATGTTGAGGGGGAGGGTTCTTTTTTAAATAGATAATCCACAACTCCTACAACTTTGGAAAAAAAAAACATGCACGGTGAAAAGAACCCCATTTGATCTATTTCAGGGCAACTCTTTCATAGGGAAAAATGTAAACCTCCTTACGTTTTTGGAGCTGCTACTATCTTATCTAAAGATTTAACCATGGGATGTATTCCAGACAACAGATGAGAGACATTCTTTTGTTTTTTTTCAGTTGTGGTACTGTTACCCGATATCCTGACAGATCCCTGGAGAACCCTGTTTATTAATGCATGAAAACATATGTAAGATCAGAAATCTACACAGAGATGTAACTATAGCAAAGCAAAGTCCTTCATAGTTTGAGTCACGGAAATTAGTCTCAGTATTTTGAAGGAACTTTCCTCTAAACCTTGCACAAGGCCTGTCAGTCCTTGGCACAGATATAGTGTATAATCACAATTGTGTAATCAGAGAGGGAAGCAAACAGGGAGGAAGCAGAGTTGTCTGCTGTTTTACAAGAAGAAAGGAAAAAACGGATGGCACTTGCTCTAAAAACAGAGACAACAAGGATTTTTTTCAGAAAGTTCAAAGAGGAAATTAGAAAGTGGAAGTACGAACCATCACAGAGATCTAAAGAAATTGGAGTAATTAAATATTGAGAGTATCAAAGGTTGCGTTTCCCTTGTAAAAGCTCAGTGTCTCTTGTGTTTCAACTGATCCTTTTGCCATAAAAAAGAACAATTCTGTGAGAATTCATTCAATATTCTTTATTTGTCTCTTATAATCACATCAACATTAAGGTAATTATATACAGATTTGTTATCTAAAAAAAAAAAAAGAGTGCATACTATGTTCCAACTTTGTTTAGGTGTGTTCCTGCCTTTAAACTCACAAGCTAATATTGTTGAAATGGTGCCTAATCAGCACCAAGCTCATTAAAAATATATATATCACCACTCCAGCCACAGAGATACACAATCGCTCTGCAGCCTTTTGACCTCTCTGTGCTCTTTTGCTCAAGTAAAGAGATCACAACAGCTGTGGTGCCTTGCTCATGTCCTTTTCTATTCACACGTGTGATCCACCTCTGAAGCCTCAGCCTTCGTCCGATGTGCACACATGAATACGAATCACACACAAACTGAAAACTGCCCCCCAACAGAAATGAAAACAACTGTCTCCTATATTGTGACACATCACGTACCAAAGTCATGATTTGAATGTTAAACACACTGACTTATGCATGAGCGTGTGGCAGGAGGCACTAACTGAAAATGAGATTATGATGCCAATACTGCTGCAAAGAATGATGTTGTCTGATGTATTGCAGTGCACATTTAAAAGGCAATGCGTGCATAGCTGCTACGTGTGGGCATCAAGTTGTTTGTCTTTACAGACGTCCCCACAAGCACTAAATAGACTGTAAATGCATGTCAGCAGCACTGGAGATAATACTGATCTAAATGGCCATAATGTATGCTGGGTTAGTGTCATGTTCTGAAGTGGTACACATTTTTTCCATTGTTCTAGCACACACACCCACACACAGATGCGGTTGTCTACTAAATTTCCTCTATGTCAGCTTTGTTATGCAGAGTTTCTTCCACCCATAATCCCTCTCCTTTGGGCATATCCAAGCAAACCTTCATTCAAGCCACAGGTCATTTTTAACACTTAACAGCTGAGGAGTTCATTTTTAAATCCTAGTTTTCCAGGAGCTCTTTTCCAACTTTATACAGCTGCTAATCTGTATGCCATTTCGATCAAAGGCAAACAGACACTAGATGTACGAAGAGCATAGAAAAAGCCAAACTCAAGGGTAATGAGAGCGACAAACCCAAAAAAGACAGCAAAATAACACTTTTCACCACCCGCTGATCTCATTTTTCTCCCTGCATTTCCTCAAAGTCAATAGAGGGTTCATTCTTTCGAGGAGGAGCATGACACACGAGGCAGACACTACAACTTCATACTAGAGCTTGGAGAAAGAAAAACAGGGGGAAAGATATTAAATAAGTCTTGCTACAGAGCTCAGGATATGCGCCCCGGAAATCCTGCGTGAACTTTGGCTCTCCCACCACCAATCTGAAATTTAACTTAGTGTGTCGCATTTTGCCGCTCCGATGAATGTGACATGCGAATGTTGACAAGCTAAACTGAAATATATATTTCAGTGCAAAGGGCAACAAGACTTGCCGTTAGAAACATTTTCCTGCTGTACACAAAACAAAGACACAAAAACATGCTTGGACATGTCTTTTCATATTTTAGAACATGGCAAATTCCACTACCCCACCTTGTGGTGTTTGCATCCAATCACAGAAGCACAACTTGTTAATCAACATACAGGAAGGAGCTATCTATAACACCGCGACCTACACCACATCGCAGCACCCCTCACATCCCATCTCTGCCTGGATGAGTCAGTCCGCTTCGGCTAAACAGCTATGGCAACGACTCCGCGCTGTAGCCTGAGCCAATGCATGCTGGGAACCCAGATGGAGTAGACAGAAGGAGAAACAGGCAGACAGAGAGTTAGAGAAAAAGGGGGTAGGATAGAGTATGGGAACCGATGCTCACAACAGATGTTTGTCACAGTTCCCTTATTGCGTTTACACTCTTCTTGGCAGTAAATTAAACCCACAACAGAAGGAGCATTTGTACCGTATACATTTTGGAAGCTGACATCTAAACTAAACAATGTTTTTATAGGCTTATTAGATGAATAACTGTAGTAACTGGGATAATTCAGAATTTGCTGGTGTAAATCTTTCTCAATGTTCAGTCACTTATTTGTCCTCATCGCATGTCGTCTTAAGAAGCTGAAACAAATCATGTAGTTCTTTTTTTTAAAGTTTTCTCTTTTTCCCACCCCTATTCAGGCAGAGAGTTTCAGGGGTCAGAGGGACTACAGCTTAACAAAATGTTGCAACAAAAGAGTTTCAACTTCCCACTGGAGATAATGCAGCATAACTTCAAGTTCAGGCAAGGTGAAGAAACAGGAAAGAGGCTGTATGATCTCAGCAAGTGGCCTCTCTGCCCCGCGCAGCTCAATGTCTAACTGACCAAAAAAAAAAGAACTGTTCTGTCTGTGCTTTCAGAGTCCATACTGATGCATCTGACACACAAAAATAAGTGTTTTAGAACACACAAAAAGCATAATATGTCCCTTTCAACTTGTTAAAATGCTTTTTTTTAAAAAGCTAAAACGAACCGCAAATTTTTTCTTATAATTATGTTTTACTTAAAAACAGTTGCAGATGTATTTTCCACAGGTCAATGTATCATCTTAGCTGAGATTTCTTCAATAACAATCTTTTTTTGGGGATATAAGGCAACGCAAGTTTAATTGTAAAGCCCATTTCATGTACAAGACAATTCAAAGGGCTTTACGAGTAAATATAGAAGTACATCAAAACAGACTTATAAATGATTAAGAAATTTAATTCAACTGCTTCATTTTCTTTCAAGGCAGAAAAAGATCAAAGAGAAATTATATGAGAGATAAATTGCATTCCAGAACAGTGTGAGGAATCAACAATTGCTTTGCTATAGAAAACAGAAAAAAAAACAAAAAAACAGCTGAGGTGCAGCTAGTGCAGCAAATATCATCCATAAACCAAACGATTGGCTTTTGTCTGCTCGCTAAACTGAAAAACCTCAATAGGATTATTCAAAGTGTCCAAGTCAAAACTCTCAGCTTCCGGGTTGCCAAACATCTGTATTTGCTGCTTGTCTCTATTTGATAGGATTGTAGTGTGAGTTAGTCTTTTAGACTTAGATACATAAAAACAAAGTGGATCACCAATAAATGATAAATTGTCCACGGTTCCGGTAAAATCTGCATTCCAGCACCATGACCGCTTTTGACGGGGGTGAACAGCCACGCTCAATCAGCCATTTTGAAACCGATTTGGGCCACAGGCATGGCGCAGTTAGCCAGTCATCACAATGAGTAAAGATGTAATCAATGCACTCTGCTGCGGAACAAGAATTGGATTGACACAGTTATCTTCAAAAGATAAATGGAGATTAGGTAGCCTGCTCTCGGTATCTCGCCAAGCGCATCCCGTGACGGCGTCACAATCACAATCACTCCGTAACATTCTTGTTTTTGTCGATACATGTGATGTGAACTATGATTTCCATTTCACGCCTCTGTCCTTGCACTCTGTTTATAGATAAGTGTGGGTGGTTTTGACACGACAGGGCAGAACATCCCGTGTCCATAGTTTTAAAATACCATTTTTGATATGGTTGGGTAGATTTAGTGCTGCGGTGAAACTGGCGTGATTCAGCACCCTCTGATCTGTTAACTTCCCCGATGTGAATCAGCCCTCGCTGCACACTTTTTAAGAGCAGCTGTGGTGACTAACTGCACCAAAGAGGGAGGGGGAAAAAAAGCCTTCCTCTTCGGCAGTGTGACTTCATCAGAGACAGGCAATCTGCAGGAGAGGTCAACAACTGACATTTTCCTATTTGTTTGGTTTCTTTGGATCCCTGTCATTCCACCTCTGTGATAAAAAATGAGTTAATTCATAAAATACTGGTGGAAGCGGGTTTCCAGTGGGTGGAGGAGCGGTGGCTCGGAGGGTTTTGAGACGCCACACGTGGCTCTCATTCTGAGGGTGGAAACAGCAGCATAACTGTGACATTTAGCAATCTATAAAACTTTGCCCCTGAATCTCTGTGGGGTTTTCCTCAGAAATCAACAAAGGGGAACGTTGTTATTTGACGCTCTGGCGTGTCAATCTTTCCACTCGAGACAAACTAATCTCCCTAAATTGTGAAGCTGAAAATTGCTAGAGATTTAATAGAGCATGAGTGGGCTTTGTGGGATGTGATTTTATTCACTTTGTCAAAAAGATTATGCTCTTTTTTCCCCATTTGTTTTGATAGCACAAAGACAAAGTTCATTATTTACGTCGAAGTTGTTCATTTTCATGCTTAGAGTTTTCTTAAATTTTTTATGCCACAGAAAGCCAAAAAGGCTTAATTACGCATTTTTTCATTAGTCAGGTCTGATACTGTATAATCAGGTTCAACTGAGATAAAAAATAAAAAAAAACAAGAAAACAAACAATGAATGTGAATCACAACATTTATCTAATAGGATACAATATCCAAGGTTATGATTTTAAATCGTTACCCACATAATACATTATATTAACGTTATAATTCATATAACATTGTGCTTACCATGTAAAATCAAACTTATTAAGTACTATTTAGCTAAGAATTAATTCATGATACAGGTAAAAGGTAACATGACCTAACGCATCAAATGTTAAGCATGCCATCAACTGAAAGTCGAAATCTAATCTGAGAAACTCCAGCTGGGAGCCATGGCAGCGAGCGGCTCTATCCAGGTTACAAAAGGGAAGCGCACACATACCACAGGTGAGCATGGGAGTTTGGACTCTTTACAGACATCAAAAGAACTCTCAGACAATCAGTGTCAACGTCAATGTTTAAGTGAATGAACAAGTGAGGTAAAGAGCCACAAACATGTTAATGCAGAAACACACACAAATCAATCCCATAACCCTCTATAATCAATCCAAGGGCTCATTGGAGTGCTTCACTTTATTACAAACCCCCATCTTCATCTCTTGAGCAATCTGGAAACGTCAAACTCAAGTCTCCTTTGGCCATCAGCCAGGACGCCTATACACCTCAGAGATACACTCCCACACACTTAATCCCTGCAAGACATCCTTCAAAGATGAAGTTTGAAGCCTCATAAGTTCTTAAGGCTCTTCTTTGACACACACAAACACACTCAACGCTGCTTTTCCGCTGAGTTTGTCACAGCGGGCCGAAGGGCTTTAGTGCTTGTGGAAACTCCAGTGGTGGAGGAAAAACTGGACATCCGCTCACATGTCACACAGAGCCACAAACATCTAGCAACCCAAATGATCAAATTCCAGGTGGTTTGAAAATGAGCACCGGAGCCGAGAGAAGAGACGGGAGAGGAGTTTGGGCAACTCACCCTCACAGATCCTGTCCAGCCGCTGTCGTTTCACTTTATGTTTGTCCACCAGGGCCATGCTGTCACAGCTTCAAACGCCTTCTCCTCCCCTTGAGGTTTGCTTCCCCTCTCTGCTTGTTTCCGACTCAAATCCTCAAGAAATCAGTTTGTTGACGATCTAAACCTGAAATTTAAGAAACCACAGACATAGGTTTCAGCTGAGGCTCAGTCTAGGCAGCGAGTGCACTTTTATGCTTTCTTTGACTCTTTTGGGAGGAAACAAACAGGCTGCTATCCGTAACAAAAAAAAAAACTGCCATTTGATGCTCTGTAGCTGAATTATCCTGGAACTAATTTACATCTGCTGTGCCCTCAGGAGGCCACAATCAAAATGCATTGTACACACAGTGACTTCCAGCGACACACAATTTTAAATTATGCAAAGCAAAACATCACTTACACTACATAAAAAATGTATGATGTGCAAATTAAAGACCGGAATGTGCATACGAAGCACAAGTGAATGAAAATGCACAGTCAGTGGTCACAGAGTTGAGTGAAATTTAGCTAAATCTTTTTATTTGGGTCACTTATTAGTAATAATCCCTCAGCTTCTTGGAAGTGCATTTAAAAAAAAGGAAGCTAAGCAATATTCTGCAGTTGTTTCCATCTCATAAGCTTGGCAGTATCACTATAGAATGTAAAATAAAATTAAGTAAATGGATTAATCTGATTTACCCTTCAGAGACTCTCCACTAGGGGGAGCTTCACCTTGGAGAGCACTATTTGATAAAATTAGATTAAGAAATGTCACTTCTGCAACCAGAGCTCCTCAAATGAAGTAGAACAGAGCACAAGCAGGCAAAAACAGACTGAGTAAAGGAGGAATTTAACAAATCACTATGCTCATTGCTTGTGCCACTCTGAAGAATTTTCTTCTGACTGGCTCCCGGTGAAGCCTGAGGGGAAATGGCTTTTTGTTTGTTTGTTTGTTTGTTTGTTTATCGCAGGCAAAGACGGACCGAAACCAGCTCAAGAAAGCACACGTACGTGCACACAAAATGAAACAAAAACAGCTCGCAGAAATGTGGGTTTACACACATGGACGCACGCACAAAGGGCAATGAGTTACACAGAGGAATGTGGGTCAGTTAGTCAGCAGACAGGAGGAGGTTGTATCAGCAGAATAAAGACATGAAAGTGGGCTGGTGGGAGGGGGAGGAAAGTAGAAGAAAAACATCATCTAACAGGATGAGTACAGTGTGACACCATCCTCCTACGTTTTAACTGTACTGTAGGTCCGTCAGCACTTTGGTTTCATATTTGTCCTTGGGCGTAATCCTAAAAGAACTGTTTATGTGAGGATACAATTGATTGATATTTGTGCTGTAAATCACGGCCGTTATGTTTTAGTAGGGTGCATGGCAGGTGAAAGAATGAATAGATGCTCTATTTCTTTTATACGTACAGCTGTGGAGGGAGGGAGGTGAGGAGAGGCTCTGCAGCTAAAGTGACTTTTACATGAAACGCTGGCGTAGGTGCTAAATCTCTGCGTTTCACCAAAACGCTTTTCAGCCGGCAACGCCAGTGGAGCTGGGCCTCGGTTTGCCTCCTCCACAAGGTATGCCTTCGTGCCAAAGAGCTGAAGACCCGCATGTGGGAGTCAGAAGGAGAAGTAATTGAGCAGGAGGGAAAGCAGGAAACAGTCACTCAGAGGCAACTCGTCTATGAATAGACTGGAGGAGATATGCATGGGCATCTGTGGCTCCGAGCTGCATCTCTACAGGTCAGACGTGAAGACGGCACAGCTATATATTCAAAAAGTCTCCAGATGTAAACTTCCCAACAAGATCCAACTGCAAACACGGTCATTCACTTCCTGCACTATTTAGGATTTCTCATTTTCATATTGAGCACATGAGAAGGAACATCCCCCAAAAACGTCCACCATCATAAACGCTTAAAATCCTTTCAAACATAAACCCTGTATCCAAGTATTTTAAGTGACCAAAGGGGCATACCGCACATGATATGAAGACTGGTCCTGCTCAGCAGTGCTGGACACACTCGCCTTAATTTCCATTAATTTATTCCAGGGATCTGACACATCTGAGAACAGGATCCTCTCCACTCCCAAAGGATCAAAAATGTCAACTCCTCTAAGTGGGTTGAAAAGTCAACAACTCGGAGCCCTCAGCTAGAGCAGTGCCAGAGAGGAAGTACAGTTATCCTGAGGCCTTCAGCGCCGTCGCTGCTCAATTGTTGCTTGACTAAGTGTCGTTATGCAACTGAACAATAAGAGGATTGACCTGAGAGAAAATATGTGCTCCGAGTTGGAGGAGAGGGAGCAAAAGGCCAAGTCTCTCTCTCTCTCTCTGTCTCGTAAAAAATACACAACTCCTGGGACTGTCTGGCTCAGCACGGAGAGGACTCGCTCAGTTATTTGTGGCTGGTTGGTCATGTTCACAGGTTCCGTGACAAGCTTGTGAACGACACCCAGTTAGGTCGTGTCTGAAGGAGCAGCTCCGTTTTTGGATGACAAACAAACAGGTTTTTGCGCGTTCGATTAGGCACGCTGCATCTGTTTGGCAGAACGTGGCCGGAACAATGCCCGGTAACTGCATCTGCTATCAAAGCAGAACATAAAAGAAAGAAACAAAAAAAAATACAAATCTCTGTGAGACATTCTCGGCACAGCAACTGCGCTTTCCTGCAGCACATCCGTGTCAGCCAGTGGGAAAGCAAAGCAGTCAGGAGTCACGGGGGATAAGGAAACTCTCCCGCTCACAGTTCAGCCTTTTCTCGAGATGCCTTTTATTAAATCCAAGTATCCTCTGCCAACGCAGATATGCGGGACAAACTAAAAAGGTCAGCTGGTTCTATCATGGAATTAAATGAAGTAGCTCCACTGAACGTTATTTTTCCTTTTCTTTTGTATAACTTAGTTTAGATGAGTGATCTTTGTATGCAGTAAGATGGAGAACTCGGCAGATTATGTCGTAGACTTGGATGAATTTTGTGATGGTCCATCGAAAAAGAAATCAAGGTGCACGGGAGCAGCTGATGCCATCTAAAGCCACCATATGCTGCTCAGTGTGTCCTACATTATTCATCACAGACACCATGCCAAAAAAGGGCTGGCTTACTTCTGGGTGACAATACCTTTGGCAGCTGTATGTGCAGTGTGTAGGAATGGCCCGTAAAGCTTAGTACATGTTTCCTTTGGAAGTTTCTGCGTTCGTCTTAGAAAGCGTGGAAACAATCAAGCCGAAACAGCCTGGATGTCGAGTGTCAGAGCGGAGCGAGGGCCTTGCAAGGAGTTGCACCGCGTTGTTTCAGCTGTTGCATCATTCCTCGAGGTTAGGAATTTATGAAGGGCTTCCTGTTCTGAAGGAAATTTCAGAAGCAGAGAGACAAAAAGAAAACTCCTCTCACTTTACAAACAAATCTTTTTGAGAGAAAACCATCTATTTTTGTGCTTTTCCTGGGAGGAAAAGCACAAATCAGGCCGCCCGGGAGATCTTGTTGAGGTTGGTAACTGCCTCAAAAACACAGCAGGGGGAGCAGAGAAAGAGAAGATTTCTCTATCTGAGACATTCTCTGAGGGAAACCCTGTCACTGGATTCTGAAAGATGTGTGCTTATGGCTGCAGGTGAAGAGACAGAAATGTAGGTAAAGGTTTTATTCTTAACTGGAAAAAATACATTCTTATCCACAACACGCAGAAAACAAATGGACTGAGCTATAAATCTATAATTAAATATTCATAGTGAGCTCAAGAATAACCCAGTGACCAGTTCAGATACTAAGGAAAACAGATCACGTTTCCTCTGGCAGCACAGATGAAATTGCTTTCTTTTCAGTCCGTTTCTGTTTTAATCTCTTCCTTAAGCAGCCTCTCCTGGAGTTACATGTCTGAAGGAAGACAATGACTTTTGAGAGATAAGCTTCTGCTTCCCAGAAGAAAGAGTGTGGTTTCGAGAGCAGAACTAACAGAGATGCCATTTCTGGACACTGTTTCCAATTTCATAATACAGCACCTTAATGGACAGTTAACATTTAGAGGAAGACTGGTGTAGAGGCTCCCTTAACTGACTACTTAGGTGTCTATGATTTATATCCCTGAAGGTGCAAGATAGCAGAAAAAAGATGAAGCAGAGAGTGGAGGGTGGGTAAAGGTTTCTCTTCTCCCATTAATCCAATAGTTGGGGTTCTGACGGGGAACGTAAAGCTGCCACTCAGCCTGCAGATTTACACCTTCCTAGTCCCTGTCAGTCTCTTTCTTCCAGCCTATCTAAACACACCAGCCGCTGACAATTACACCTTTTTATACCTCTCCATCACCATTTAAATCCTCTTAATTCTCTCCATCCATCTGTGTCTCCTCCACTTACCTGATTTTGCATGTGTTGTCAGTTTATGGCAAACAGCCTTCTTATCCTTTCCCCATTTTTCCTTCACACTGCTTTTTATCTGAAATATTTGCCTCCTCCCTCCCCCCTCTCGGCTCTAAATAAAATGAGACTGCAGCAGTCCTAACTGCTGACTTGGGCTAATGCACAATTTTGTAATAATGCCTATTCGTTTAAGTCACCCAGGAAATGCATAATGGTGACATTACCGTGCACTGTAGCCTGTTTGCCAAGCTCAGTGAGCCCCATCCCCCCTCTCACCAGCCCCTCGCATCCAATGAACTAAAACAAAGTCTCGCATAAAATCTCCACTGTCATAATTAATTTATTTCTTACCTAAAAGGCTATACACTGAAATCATATTTACTGATACAAATGCACCAATGCAATTAATGTAAAAATATGTGCGCACACACACAGACACGTACACACAGACACGTACACACACAGACACGTACACACACAGACAAGCAATCAAATCTAAACCTCCAGTGCTTCAACTGACAAGTGAAAGGTTGTTTCTAAGATGCTTTGATTGTGACAGTAAATCTGTCTATTCTACTTTCCTGCTGACACTCAACATAATGACAATGACCTCAGGCCTGCTTCTGGGGGGGACAAAGATCAATGTTTGGAGCGTTACTGCGCATGAATTCACCCACACTAT